AGAAGGTTTTTTTAACCAATTTTGTTTGGTGTTAGTCTAAAAATTACTATTCAATGTCTGCTTGCCCTAAAACATACATTTGGAGAAGTTTTACGTCATTTTAAAGGTAAGGAAATAAAAAAACATAGGCGGTACACGTATATTGTAGAATATTTTTAGTAATTGTTTACGCAGGTTTCCTACAAACTTTGAAGCAATGGAAATTTGGATTCAAAACCTAGATTTAGGAACGGTTGAAGTTGATAAAATTAACAAAAACACTAAACTATATTGGAAACATTTTATAAATTTTGATTTTGTTATAAATTCTGCCAGAAAGACGAATTTAAAGATGGAAGCATTTCCTACTGAATTCAATTCTCAACTTGGTCCGTTTTAAAGTAAGTTATAATAATATTATGTATTACAATACATAATACAAATTATTCATACATTTTAAACTTTAGAGAGATTTAATTTAGAAAATTAATGCTGTATTGTATCCTCCTTGACAAACTGCTAGCAAAGTGCAGTCCTTTCACTACTTATTGCTGGTAAAATATGCCATATGCAAGCCCATTAAAGCGAAGTTAACATTAATATTATGGGAAACTGCTGGTCATGTACAGGCCTTTCACTACGTAGGCCTGGTAACGTTACGAGCCTTGTGCAAGCCCAATGAAGGGAAGTCAATATTAATATGGGAAACTACTGGCCATTTACAGGCATTTCACGGCCTATGTCTGGTAAAGTGAAGACGGCCTTCTGCCACCCATAGTGACAATGCCTACCAATGCCAGACCCCCTACGAAAGGCCACTACTTGAAGTAACGTACATACGTTTAAACTTACCATAACAAAATTTTTGTTGGGTTTATATGAACGAGCACCATCTAAGGACCTTCCCAAGACCTTTGGAGCTTCGGAGAGTAACCCTTTTGTCTTTTTGGGTTATGGAGCCAGACTTTGACGCCTTCCTTGAAGCATCCTACTATGGCTTGGGTATCGTATCGCTTCTTCATTCTATCGCTACCGATTTGAAGATGCGAGCGAACTTATTCATGCATGTCGTCCATTTTTTTTCGTAGCTGGATCACATAATCTTCACCAGCTATGACTTCTCCAGATCGGCATTTAAACTCGAGGTCACACGGTAGTCTCATCTCACGCCCGAACAGCACCTTTGATTTGGAATGGCGTAGACTTCCACACACTTCGTTCAATAATCCAAAACCACCATAATGTATTTATTGCCATTCTCGGGTATGGGAAATGGTTCAGAAATATCTAACGCAATCCTCTCAAATGGGCTACCGACGTTGTACTGCTTCATGTGGGCCTTCCTTTTTCATTGGGGTCCGTTACTCAGCACAGGTGGTACATCTTTTACACCAGTCCTTTACATCATCAGAACTGTTCATCTAATAAACCCTTCCACGAACTCTCGAAGAGTTTCCTTAACACCGAGATGTCCTGATGGACTGTCGTGTAACTGACGAAGTACTTCGGCTACTCTAGTCTTTGGAATTATCAACTGTCTTTTGTTTTCGGAACCATCGTCGTTCTCTAGTTCTCGCATTAATAAGCCTTCTTCTAGAATAAAAGAGTCCCACTGAGCCCAATATGACTTGAAAACTGGAGAGAGTTTTGATACTTCTTGCTAGGTAGGCCTACGATTTTCCTCTTTCAATTGTCGCATCTTTTTCAAAACGGGATCGTTCTCATGTTCTTCCCTAAATTTGGCCAGAGCACTCTGCTGGGCACGGTCTTCTAGAAACAGAATCGACATTTCTGTGGCTTATTCCAGCTTTATGTTTGATCTTAAAATAGTACTCCGGCGATTTGTCCCTCCGAGTTTTTGAACTGAATCGACCATTTAGGGCTGCATGATCAGTACGGATTAAGAATTTCGTTTCATATAGATAGAAGTGTTCCACGAATTTCACAACTGCCAGGAGTTCCCTTCTCGTAACGCAGTAATTTCGCTCATATTTTGAGAGCACTTTACCAAAATAACACAGTATTCTTTCTTTTCCCCCTTGAATCTGTGAAAGCACTCCTCCAATTCCCACATTACTGACATCAGTATTCAGAATAAATTTTCCCTATGGTAGTAGGTAGCCTAGTATTGGCGCTGTTGTTAAATGCTTCTTTAGTGTTTCAAATACAGTTTGGTAAAATTGTTCAACTGACGGTAATTCACACAGAACCTCGTAGTTCCGTCCTTTTTCTGGACCAGGACTACCGGAGAGACCCATGGGCTGGTAGAAGGTTCTATCACCGTCTTTCTTCATTTCCTGAACAATCCTTTCAGCTTCCTCTTTCTTGGTCTTTGGTAGTATGCGATCTGATTGAAGAATCGGCCTGGCGTCACCAATGTCAATTTTGTGTTTTACAACAGAAGTTGTTCCTCTTTTTTCTCCTTTTGGTAAAAAAATGTCACGATATCGTCGAATAAAGTCCTTTATTTTCTTTTTTACTAATTGATTCAGAGATTGACCAGAAAGTGCAATCATATGCGAGAATTTGTCGTTAGAATTATTAGAAGTTGTTGTCTGACGAATTATAGAAGTTACTGGTACACAAGTTTCGATTCTGGTCTTTCTTGATGGTAAATGGGTGAAAATCAACGATTTTAAGACGAACTAAAATCTCTTTAGCAGTCGTGACTAACCCTTTTCCGATCAGAATTCCTCGTCCAACCTCTTCATGAGGTTCCAAGGTTCCATCATTACAGGTGTTCCTTCTTCCATAGTTTCTTGAAGCCGTGCTACTATAATGGTTTCACTTCTGCCAGGTATCACCGTATCTTCCTCCATAACAACTGGCACAGTACTGTCCCCATATGGATGTAGGAATACCTCTCCAACACCAACTTTGATCACTCTGTTCTTTAAGTATAACTGGAAACGATGAAAGTTCATTACATCCATTCCAAGAATAACATCTTCTTCGATATCAACGGCAATAACAGTATGAGTGAACTTTTTTTACCACTTTCCAATTGAACCTGGATTTTCCCACGGATGTTGGCACTTTCACTTGTCTTGTTGGTGTCGCAATCTTGTCGGTCTCTTACGGTTATTTGTGGTTGTTGGTCGTATAATGATCTTAGTTGCTTCAGTATCCACCAACAGTGTATACTTTTTATCTTTTACTTCGCCGTCTACGTATACACCATCATCAAGACATTTTAAAGAGGGTCTTTGAAACGGTTTTCCTGCAGCGTGTTGTCTTCATTTGTTGGGGTCCTATGGCGTTTGCACGAACTGCTTACATGTCCTAGTTCGCCGCAATTCCAGCATCTGATAGTCTTCGTCTTTATCTTTTTGTCAGTAAAACTCTTCATGATGTTAATTAGTTGGTCGAGTACATCTTCTACGTTTTCTTTTTTTATTGTCCTCGCTTTACTATATTCTCCAGAAACCTGCCAGAAGACATCGATCATGTTTTGTGACGGGCTAAGCGGAGTGTTTTCTGCATCTCGTTGTCACGGAGTTCATCAACAAATGTTTGGACTGCCAAACATTTCAGCATGTTTTCGGGAGCTGATGAGTAAGCAAACCGTACCAACCTGGCAATATCTACTTCATATTCTAGAAGAGTCCCGTTTCGTTTCTGTTTACGGTTCTTTAACTGTGACTGGTATAAATGCTCCAAGTTGTTCAAAATCATCTGTCTCTTCCACAGATATAGTCTGAAGGACATCTAAAGCCTCTCCTCGAAGGACGATGGTCAAATTTATTGCCTTCTCTTATTTAGACCATTCGTATGCTCTAGCAGCTGTTTCGAACTGTTTAAGGTAGTTGGTCCATGATATCTTTCTGTCGAAAGTTGAGGCTTTAATACGAGCAGAGCTTACAGCTCCTTCCAATTTCAACTTCGACTCCACCTCATGATACTTTATTTCACTGTCCTTGGACTGTTTTATATGTTTCAGTTCTTCTATCTTCTTTTCCATCTGTTTTATTTTCTCCTTGACGGAAAACATTATTTTCTCCTCAACAAAAGACATTTTATTTCCTACAGAAGATACATTAGAGGAAAGTTTAATTTCCATAAAACACATTTCAGCAGGCACCTTTTCTTCTAAGGAAGAAATATAAGACGAAAATTTATTTTCTAAAGAAGAAACTTTATCATCCAAGGAAAATATATCGGAAGAAACTTTAGTTTCTAAGCAGGAAATATCATTTTTTATAGAATAAACATCAGAAGAAATTTTATTTTCTATGAAAGACATTTTAGTTTCCAAATCGGCTGAAATTTCGGTTTTTAAAGAAGAAATGTTAGAGGAAATATCGGTTTTCATAGAGGTTATATCAGAAGACATTTCAGTTTTTAAGCAAGAGATCTTACTTTCCATAGAAGAAATTATAGAAGACGCATCATTAAAAAAAGTTTCCGAGCCTATCTATTTTCTGAACACACAGTTTTTTAGCCATTTTTGTCCACTATTTATTTAAAGTTCCACTTCTAACACCAATGTAACGTTTGTTTAATTTATTTATAGTTTATTTATTTAAAACACTTGTTTTATTATTTATTTATAACGTATTAATTAATTTATATAATACTTAGGCACTATTATAACTCACAATTGTAATTTATATATTACAATTTAATTTTTCTGTCTCACACTTAAATTGAATCTTTTCTTCTATCGACAAAGTCGCGGCTATTTATATAGGCGACTTAAAAGCTTCGAGAAGTCCCTCTCTATTACTCATACGCCGCACCGCGATCATTCCGTCAGTTTCAAAAAGCAGTGCGTTTGTCTCTATATGGCCAGCGCTAGACTTCATACCTCGGGCAAGGAGTAAACAAAGTACAGAGACGGCTCTACGTCACAATAATATTAAAAATACGTATATAACAGAGACAATATACCTTTTTTCTTGGAATTTTAACTAAGTGATTCTTCTACTTTGAAACTGGACTGCGTCTTGACGAGATTAGAAATAATAAATAATTTTATCTACTGGAATAATCTGTATTTCTAATTATTATCAAGAATAAAGGGCAAAGTAGAAATTGGAGAGGTTACTCTCGTCAACTACACCGAGAAGCTTAACTCTTAAACTGAAAATTTCAATTTTTTTATTGTTGTTAAAATATAAACAGAATTTCTTAATGCATATTATTTAACACGTAAACCCAAAAGGTTCAAAATTACAGGAACTTTGCTCTTTAGCTCCCTTTATAGCAATATCAGACCATTTCCAATCGATGCACCCAACAGAACCACATAAAATACGCACAGCCATTCCCTTGGAACCATGCATAGTACCTGTTACATTGCTTAAAGTTAAATTGGTAATCGGTATGTTATTTTCTGCATGGCCAGTGCTAGTCCCATTAGCATAATCTTGTTGGACATTTACGCCATAGTTGACCAAATCTGAAATCAATATTAAGAGTAAACTTTTTAAAATGGACAGAACTGTTATCTGCTTACCAGAAAACTTGATGTTTTTATAAGTAACATTCTTGATTTCGCCAAGATATCCATCGTTATGAGTCTTGACATGGATACCATTTTGTGATCTAACAACAGTACAATCAATAAAAGTGACATTGTGGACAGTATTGTGACGATAGGAATGTTTACTAAAACCAACTGATAAACTTATACCGTGTCCTCCTGAGCAGTAAAGGTTTGATATTAACATGTTAGAGCCTCGGTTTATGGCCACACAGTCGTCTTGATTTTGGACTATGGCATTCTCTATGAATATGTTTTCACCGTAGATGATATCAAAACCATCAGTGTTATGTCCTAAATTTCCCTAAAATAATAATAAAATGTCGTTTATATTTTATAATAAAAAATAATCATTAATTAACTAACTTTATCTCCTTCCGAAACATCAATATTCCAACCAGTAAGAGTCAGATCGCTACTTGATATAATTACACAATGATGTGGACAATTTAGTAAAGTGATATTTTTGAATATTGATCCGCCAGTGGTTTCTATTTGAAAAAAGTATGGTTTTGCTAATCCTCCCATACCGCCCACTGTATCCCAGTACAAAGCTCCTTGTCCATCTAACAGAGATCCTGATAAAAAAGATTAATATTTTATTTTGTGTGATATACAGACATGGCTTGGTGAATTATTTTTTGTTTGTATTTTACGTTTTGGTAAAATTTGAGTTGGAATTATTTTTCTTTAACATTAGAAATGTTTGTGCTAGTACGTTATATATGGAACCAAATTACGAGTTACAAGCAAAAAAGTCATGATAGTCTTGACCTCGACACCGTTGTCTGTCGTTGACGGATTGATGCATACTGGAACTGGAGAGCGGTATCAGAGACAACAGAGACGTGTAACTTAATAGGAAAATTTGTTTGGTGGTCCATTTAAATTACATATATGACTTTCTTTCTCTTTTACATTGATCTTTAGATATATTTATCTCTTTCCAATAAAACTAACACCAATCTTAGAGGTCGCTGGTTTTTTGACGTCGACGTATAGATTAGAACTGACAACTGACAATTTTATGAATGTTGTTATGAACGTGTGCATTTTATTAAAATTAATTTAATTTGGGCCCCGTTTATTTCTTTGAGTCTGATTTTGTTGTTTACTTTTGTTCATTAAGTAGGTAGATGAATGTCTCGACAGCTTTAATGGCATTACAAAATTCCCACCTACTGGAAAAGAAGTAAAATGTATGCTGAATAAAAAATCTCTGCACATGTAGTATTGGCAAAGAACATTTGAAATTATTAGAGATTGGCTATTTCTTACATACACCTACCTCTAATACCCACTCTAGTGGCTATTAGAAGATTGTAGTCATTTAAACGAAGAAAAAAATTGAATTACAAAAGGGCAGAATTTTAAATCAGGATGCATTGGAAAATAAATTTGGGGACATCATTTCGGTTTTGGATTTTAGAGAGAGAGAGAGAACAATCTCAAGAAAAGTTCATTTATCCTGCAGAACAACCAGTAGTTTAAATAGGATCTGCTATAACTTTATTAGAAGATTTCCTTGATAATAAATTGTAATATACCAATTGTTTCAAATGAAATTGAAAAAGAGTTAAATTCGAAATTAGATTTTTCATGGGTAAAATGTTATATTCATTCAAACATCGTAAAGTAATCAATAATTAAGGGAGTATGCAAAATAGGTATACCCTGGTGAGGGATAACAACAAAAAAATTACAAAAATGTATTTATCTTTAAATAGTGTTTATTATTTGATATGTTTGAAAAGTACCTCCTGCTGCAGCGCAGATCGAATAGATTAGACGACTAGTTGGAAAAGGTCCACCTATTCACCAAATTAGGAGACTAGGAAAACTTTTACATGACTGGGGACACAACAGAAATACACACGCACAAGATACACAAACAGACGACATAACAGGGGTAAGCCTTCAGCATCGTCCTGTTTAAATGATGATAGTATGTCATCCTTCATTCCCTTTTAGAAGGCATGTCATTTAAATCTATTGATCTTGATGACCATAAGAGGAGCAGGGGGGTGTACGGAATGGGTCTAGCAGGTTTCGATCCAGTTTACATCACGGGGGTTTATATCATATGCACAATACGTAAACACGTTTCTGCGCATACTCCTCCGCGCTTGGGTGCTCTGAAGTCCGTTTTACAATAGCAAAATTGTATTAAAATGTAGAGCACATTGATTAATTTAATAACATCTCGTTCAGTAACACACAAAAAGTGTTGTTTCAAAAATTTTAATTCATATATTACAACAAACTAAAAAAAAAACATACCTTCACTTAGTTATTTGTACTATGTGAAGATGGCTTTCTGTCCGCTGCATGACTGCTGGCTGCCCGCTATAGCGGGCCCCGCGCGCGCTGTCAACAAATAACATCAAAATCAAACAAATGTGTGGTTATGTTATGATTTGGTTGTCGACGAAAACATGTGAGTGGAACTACTTTTATTTTTTTAGATATAAGTTATTTAGGATTATTTAAAATCAAGTAAAGGTATTTTGATGCTTTAACATGTCTTTACCAGGCAGAATTCATTATAAACGCATAATTTCTAATTGTTATAGTACATTTTATAAGACCCATTCCAAACGTAAATTTTAAGAACAAACATTTTTAAATTTCCTTCTGATATTGATCAAAGAACGGAATGGTGTCGTATTTTAAACATTCCACTTACAACCCCAATCATTATACATTATGTGAAAATCATATTTTGATACAAAATTGTTTACAAACACAAATCGTTCAAGACTGCTAAAAGATTTGCTTTACCTTGCTTTAGCATCCTCAAAACCAGATACACCAAAGATAGTAGTACTTAGTAATATTGTTATCACACCTCCAAACAGAGTCCTGTGAGGAAAAAGTTCATTTTAATAATATATACAAAATTAAAAAATGAAGCAGAATTTGAGTCAGGCCACTAGTTATGTCAGGGTTTATTAAGAAACTTAATAGTTTTGACTGCAAAGAGTGTAAAGTTAATTTACAGACATGTTAGAAGACCATTGATACTTTTACTTATTTTAAGGAAAGTTATGATAAAAGACGTTTTATTTATGTACAAAGAAATGTATTGAATTTCTTTCAAAAATTCTTGAAATAGTTTCACAACTTTTGGATCATATTGATAACATAATTCAAAAAATTAAACTTTTTTGCCAGACCATGTTGATTTTAAATGGTTTAGATCAGAGGCGACTCGTGGCCTAGTCTATGAGGAGACTACTTTTAAAAGGCACACCCTATATACTTAATAAAAATATATGTCTATAAGAATTCAAAAAGCAGAAATATTACATTGTATTCTAATAGAAATATATATTTGTATAAAGTATATAGGATGAGCCAGCTTCCTCACAGACTAGGCCACAAGCCTGGTTTACATATAAAGAACATAAAACAGACGCCTTTTCTCATTTAGTTGAAACTTGTCTACTATTAATAATAAGAAAGTATTATAATGATAGTATGAGGGCTGCTGCAATGTCTAAAAGACAAACAAAATGATTTGAAGTTACTGCATTTAATTTTTTTCTGTTTCAGTTTATATGGATGATTGCTTTTGTCTGATTTCCTAAGATTCAGGAAGAATTTGTTGTTTCGTTTTTTGTTTATTTTAAAAATTTATTTACTTAGGCATTAGTTTTCATATCAAGTAAATTATATAATTATTTGTTATGCAATTTCTGATTTTTGTTAACCAAAGATAGTTAATGTACCGAAATAGTAATGTAATGTTTGTGATATTAGAGCAACTTTCTTAAAGAATCATTTATAAGACGTCCGGGAGCGCCATAGTAAATAATAATAATAATAATAGACATTCTTGCTTTGCATAAGCTCGCTTGTATGGGGGTGAAGTGCATGAAAAATATTTTTTTGTATTGCCATCTCTTTGATATATTTTTTATTTATTTTTCTTGGAAATTTTTAGTAAATATAATTATATAAAACTTTGTATGATATTTATTTTATCCCTCATAATTATTTGTCATAGAATTTTACATTTTTATTGGGCATTTCATAATTGTTACAAACAGCTAATAAAAAAGGAAAATTTTAATTATAATTAAGAGGAAAATTTACTTAAGCAATTATCTCTTTCTAAACAATACGAAATAGAGCCACAAATATTTCTATAGTTTAATTTTACTTTTTAGTGAATGAAAAATATATACCTTCAGGTAAAAGTGAAATGTCTGTTTTTCTGGAACCACTATTCCGAAATTTGATTTAATTATTTTCTCAATTTTTGAAATCTTTATAAAAACAAAATTTTGCGATTTATTGCCATCAAAATTTGATTAAATTTTGAAAAAGTGGCTCCAGAGGAACATATTTTAACTACACGTACGTACATGTTTTTTATTTCACTAAAAAATTAAAAAAATTACTATCAAAATTTTGTATGGCTATATTTCGTATTAGTCAGAAAATAATTGCAAAAGTAAATTCTCCTTTAAAAAACCCGCCAATTTTCAAATTAAATATAAAATTACGGGTAACTGCATTACCGACAGAGTAAGAGTTGATGGTAATACTGCTGGTAACTACATTACCGATAGAGTAAGATTAGTTCTACTCCTCCACCCCACAGGTCGTTGCAAGCAAACATGTTGCCAAATTTCTACAAAGAAACGGCAACTCTTAATAATCCTTCCTCCATGGTTTACATGTTGGGAAGTTTCTCGACTCGGGCCTTATACATTTGTGTGAGTGAATGTGTGTGTTTGTTTTGTTTCCATGGTTTCTATTAAAATAAACAGTCATAACATATCGATACCTTTTTGCCAGAGTAACTTAAGCGACATTTGTTCAAATGGCACTTATGATAGTCTGGCAAAAAGGTATCGATATACTCTATACTTTATAAAATATTTGTTACAATATTTTTTAAATATATTATGATATAACTACTGTGACTTTCTTTGTAATTTGTCACAAAATGATACGAGATACTTTCTAAATGTAGCAATTGTAGTTTGTTTTTCTCTACCTTACAAAAATATAATTTATAAAAAAAGAGTTTGGTGTATTATTTTTCCAAGTTTAAATATTTAATAATCAATAGAATTTAATCAATAGAAGTTTTTTTAGCGAAATTTACAAGAGTAATAAAAACTATGTTCACTGCTTATATTAAACTGATTAAAACTTCCTTTATTAAAATGATTATTTATATGATAAAAAATTTGTTATTGGAAGCTTTTATATTTTTTAATATACAGTGAAACAATAGTTTTTGTTTCTCCTGTAAATTGTATAGAAAAATTATTTATTTCTGAATCCGTGTTTGAATTTCCCGTCCTAAAGCATTTTTAATTTTCCCGCTATTTACTAGTGGCGCCATCATAGACTGGTTGTGGTTACAATCGCCCAAACAACTTTTACCGAACAAAAAAAATACATTGAGTTACACGTCTCGCTCGGTTGTCTCTGGCGATATCGAGAACGTAAACATTTACCCGAAGTTCAGAATAGTGCTTCTGGTGAGTTGAATACCCAAAAATTGCCTGTGTTACCGATTTGTTAATTATATACGCCGATATTACAAAAACTGTACAAAAATTGATAAAAATATTGTTTTGATTTATTATTACTAGATTAGAGCTTAAGAATTCTAATGGCTATCAGAACATGATTTTATCTTAAATTGTAAAAGAGATCATTTAAATAAACTAAGGCCATGTCACCATTTATTACGTCGAGTCTGTTTTGTTGCTAGACCAAATCAATCTTATTAACAGACATATTGAATAGGGCAATCGATTATTCAGCGGGGGAACTAGGTACGTACGTACGTACCTATTTAGAAGTAGTGCTACACCGGTTCTGGGCCAAACCTTATGTAAATTAACATTGGGAAATCGCTAAGGTCCCAAAAGGCATTTTTGTCACTAAATTTTGTCACTAAATTTAATAACTTTTCAAAATCTAGTAACTATTTCGTAGGTTTGTGCACTGCTTTTATGTTGGCAACACTGTCACTAGATTTTGAAAATCTAATATCTTTTTCATAGGTTGGTATCACTGCTTTTCTCACCATATTTTAAGTTGGCATCACTGGTTCCCACTAAGATAAGTAATTTGATATTCCGCAACTCATCATACACAATCATTATTCAATAGGTTCTTTCGTTCGTCTCACTGGTGTAGGAATGAAAGGACCTTTCGTTTGGCCCAGTGTAAAATCCACTATATCTTTCTGTCGGCGATGTGGGGTCCACTGGTGGATATTTTCTTCACCAGCTATTTAGCAGGGGTGAATTACACTCGACATGTGTATAAGGAATAAGGAGGAATAAATTACGGCAAATAAGGTAGTGTATCTGGTGTAATTTACACTGGTGGACACTGCACCAACACCGAACGAAAGAACTTAATGTAACCATAATTACAATTATTTTTTTTTTGTATGATGAGTTACGGATTATCAGATTACTTATCTTGGTGGCAAACAGTGATGCCAACATAAAATCTAGTAAGAAAAGCAGTGTTGCAAACATGTTCATAAATACAGACTGTTTTTATTTGTGTTTTTGAATACATAATTTATTTACAATAATAGACACTGTTTTTTAATAAAAATACTAATTTTATTTTAAAAATTATGTGTCAATTGGCAATAAATATTTTTTAAACTTCAATTTTGTCTCCATTGGCCAAGCGTCTTTTGCACTTAACTCCAGAAAAACATATATGTCTTAATTCACTCGACCCCTACGAGTGGCTTGAGATAATCAATTAAAAATTATATGTTTTGTATGCGATCGGGAAGATTGATACATAAAAAAAAACATTCTATAAATTAAAATTTAGCCTAATCGACATTAATATATCTTTATAATGGTTTATGCTTGCAGGATGAGTCTTAAAAGTTGAAAATTGTCCTATGCTAGCATTATATATGAGCATAAATATGAAAAAAATATATAAATGCAGCCTATTTTGAATTATAGTCCAGGATCCGTAAGTAAGGTCGACCTTCACCCATCTGTTTACCGGATGAAAGTTTTTTTTATTAAATAAAATATGTTTTTAAATATACCGCAAATGGGTTGCCTAAGAAAATACGGTCACGGCCATTTTTTACTTTCCTCTCTGTGTACAGATAAGGAAAGTATAGGAATCATGATAAAAGTTGTTTATGATGTTATTCTCTATTATTTTGTTTCTATACATGATTTTTCTAAAATGGACCTAATTTGAGATATTTGATGAAAAGTGCAAATTTCGAATTTTGAAGATAACTCAAAAACGGATGAAGAGAAAAACACAAAATTTTAAACTTAAGCTTTAATCTATCCTGCGATGAGCTGATTAAAGTTTGGGCACAGTCAAAGCATTAGGGGAATACTTTACAGGGTGTCGTTTTTTTACTTTAAGAAAATAAATAGTCTGGACCGAATTTTCTTAGGCAACCCATTTGCGGTATATTTAAAAACATATTTTATTTAATAAAAAAAAACTTTCATCCGGTAAACAGATGGGTGAAGGTCGACCTTATTTCGGATCCTAGACTATTATTATATCTTTACAATTTAGTCAGCGATTAATTCATTAAATTGTACTTTTTCTTACCTTCAGTTCCATGTACGTTAATTTTATCCCCTTTAAATCTTATTAATGGACCAACCCAAGATGTATTATCGAACACTACGGTGCCATCAAAAATAACGCTGGTACCGTTCTGAAGATCTAGTTCTAAGGTAACACCTGCTGGAACTTTTAGATTGGACACCGTAATATTTTTACAATTTTTAATTACCTCAGATACTTGTGAAAATTCATTAATCATGCAATTTTGTTTTACATGTTCACTAGAAACCACAAGAATATAATATATTATTATTGTAAATTTGAGAATCATGACTTAAAATTAAAATTAAAATTTTAGATATTATACTTATGTGTACTAAAAAAATTATGGAATTGATCTCGGAATTGATAATATCTTATATGTAGTTTTTTTTTAATCTATAAGATCGGATAAGTTTTATTCATATCAGTAATGATAAAATTTAGATTCATTTACCTCATTCAGTACAAGGGTGTATTATCTAGTTATCTTTGATCACTGTTTTGTTGGATAAACAAACACAGCACTGCAACGAAATAGTACTCGTATATTATGCAACGATCATAATGTAATGATATCTATTAGTACACGAGCTTGGGGTAAGTTACGACACGAGCCGCAAACGAGTGTCGTAAATCTCAAGCGAGTGTATTAATACCATTACATGAGAGTTGCATACACCATTTTTTCTACGACCAAGAAGCAATTCAACAACATTGCTTTATTTTTTTTATTTTTTAATACTTTTTATTCAAACAATAAGAAATTAAATATGAAAGGAAAATAAGTTTCTGGACTTAATTTTTATTCCTACACAATAACCAATATAATAACTATCTACCTTTTTGACTAACTCAAAAGATTGAAACTGTCATAAAACACGAATCTCTTAGAAGCTGTCAAACATTCTACAGAAAATATTGGGTCTGCCTACTTGGTTATTTAAAAATTTAGATTTCTCTTGGTCAATTTTTAGTTTCATAATGAAAGCCAGTGAGTAATGAGTAATGAGTATCATTATGAAACTGAAAATTAGCATTTATTTAACAACTTATAGTAAAGGAGTAGAAAAAGTTATTTATTAGAAATGTACCGTCGGCATTGTGAAATGTGAAATGAACAAAGCCCTAAGACACTAAAGAAATCAAAAATGTTTTTATCTTAATTCATGATAATATAATCAATAATGTTTTCGAAGTTTATGTTCGTTGATATAATGACCTGTTCCTATTGTGACAGAAAACATATCTATTTTTGAAATCAATTAGCGTTAATTATTAAATATAATAAAAGCAATAGCTTAGTTAATTCTGTGTGCAACATGCAATACCATAAATACCCGTATATAGTATAAACTTTTTCCTGTCCAGACTCGAATACTGTACGAATGACGAGTAAGTTTCAAATTAGATCTTGTCGAGTTTTCCTGTCCAGACTTGAAGACTCATCTACGAATCATGAGGCGTCGTAATCCAAATAGTAAATATTTTCTTCGGCTACGTGAAGGTCAAAACCCAAGACGCAAAGTTATAGCTATAAATGTTCGACGGAGTGCTTTATATTTTGTGTTAATTGTGTTGTAATTAAATTTTATGAAATGGTAAGTACCTACCCACATAATACCTATGTATTTGACTTGATTTATGCCCGATTCGCCCGTTCCCATTTCGCCTGACCAATTAAAATTTGCCGATTCGCCTAACAAGTTTAAATTGTGGTATTGTTCCGCCTGACCATAAGTTGGATGGTGCGTGATTTTTTTTATCATAAGGGACATTTTCAAAATACATGCAAAATTTGATTTATAAGGATTATTTGATTTGAAACAAAAAAAACTGCATTTATTGACACTTAATAATGTACCAGTGTTTTTAAATCAATTATTTTTAAATTTTCTAAACCATCTTGATAATTTTTCCTTTAAATCTTTTTTCATAGATATACTAAGTTCTTTTCTAAAGTAATGTATATTTGAAATTATTACTGAAGGAATTTTAGTTTTTAAATATATTTTTTTTGTCCTGGCCGGTTATTGGGACACATAAAAAAATTTATAAATTCAAATAGTTTATTCGCTTTATGCTTCGTCAATTTGAAAAAATGTTTAGGTTTTATTTTACTAACTTTTTACTATACTGGGTGCTCTATATTTTTTGTTTATAACAAATTAAATAACTATAACATTTTAATTTAATTTTATTGTTATTTCTTATTATTATTCATTTGTTAGTAATATATTTCTTTACAGCAAATACATATTTATTACCTGAGCAGGTCAGGAGAATCGCAACTATTTTTTACCGTTTAACATGTAGTCAGGCAAAACGCTACCAAAGCGTACCAAATTTTTATGTCAGGCGAAACGGGAAAATACCTTTGACTTTGACTTACTTTGGCTAATAATAAGATATTGTGGAAAATACTACAAAAGTAATTCAATACTTTTCACATCTGAAAATCGCGAAATGTGATTTTTTCCTATGTGGCAAATTAGGTCTAAAAAATATGTTAATTATTTTTTCTGTTAAAGTTTGTGCACTAAAACCTAAAGTACCCTCAATATTAAATGCCTTTACCAATTTTTGATCTAGTATTCTTTAATTTCTAGGAGCCACAGAAGAGAAAACGACAAAATTTTGATAGCAAAAAAAGTTAGAGTCCAAGAAAGGGAGAAGATGGCTGGCAGTATGAAACATTTCTTGCGAAAAAGTCAAGTTTCCAACAGTGAAACGATAGAGAAAGATGAAAATACAGTTTCTTAAGCGGAGGCACTACCATCTTCTGCAACATGTGAACCATCAACATAATCATCACTTATCGAAAATATATTCTCTATGGAGTCGACCATCCCAACAAAGACGGCTACAAGTGACATTTCTGACGATGAAGTTTCTACTGAAGCGGTGACTCAGAATACTAGTATTCTTATATCATAGGACTCCGGTTTATGGCCCAAAAGCATTACCAACGACGAAGTCAGAACATTGGTAGAGCGTGGTCCTCCTTTGATAGGAAACAATTATCAATTTCCAGCTAATAAAGACAAAGACAAAAGAAAATTGTCAAGTAAGTACTTTGTCAGAAAACTAGGAAATGGAGAAGAAGCAAATAGAATTTGGCTCATTTACTCAGTTTCGAAAAATCGATATTTTGTTTTTCTTGTAAAATTTTCAGTAAGACTTTCAATAGTTTTTCTGATACTCATGGTTTTTCTGATTGGTAACATGTGTCCTTAGCCATAAAAAGACATGAAACATCAATTGTACATAATGTTCACATGAATACATGGATGAATTTAAAAAAAAATATTAAATTTATCCCCAACCGTAAACGATCATCACTTACGGGTTTAAAAAAATATTGGCATGACGTTCTGGAAAGAATTGTTGCAGTTATCAAATTTTTATCCAGACAATGTCTAGCGTTCCAAAGTTCTTCTAAAATACTTTTTGAATTTGATAATGGAAACTTCCTCAAAGCTGTCGAGATGATTTCCTCTTTTGATTCTGTGATGAGAGAGCACATTAGTCGATTGCAAAACTCACGAACAAATTCTTTAAAAATGGCCCATTATTTGGGCTATTAGATACAAAATAAAATTATTGAATTAATGTGTTCTAAAGTAAAAAATAATATTTTGAATATGGTTCGAGTTCCAAATATTATTCAATAATTTTAGACTGTACACCGGATACAAGTCATACAGAACAAATAAGCCTCGTTTTGCGTTATGTCGTTCTAAATGACATTTCTAAAAAGGCTCTAATACAAGAGAGTTTCATAGCGTTTAACTGGTTCAACCCAATATCCGACTCGACAAGGGAAGGGCTATTTGATTTTGTAGTTGGACTTTTGAAAAATTAGAATTTAGATATTAAAAACATGAGAGGTCAAGGGTATGATAATGGGGCGAATATGCACGGAAAACATACTGGTTTACAAAAACGCATACTCGATGCTAATCCCAGGGTATTTTTTGTGCCATGTGCTGCACACAGCTTAAATTTAGCAGTAAATGATGCTGCTAAAGTTTCAATATTGTACAAGAACTTTATGTATTTTTCTCTTCATCCACAAAAAGGTGGGATATTATAAAAAAAACATGCCCCGAAGTTAAATCTAAAACCCTAAGTGATACTAGATGGTCAAGTAGGATTGATGCTATAAGGCCGCTAAAGTTTCATTTAATTCAAATTTGTGATAGCCTTCTAGAAATAGCAGAAAATGATACTTTTAACATAGAAGCTAGGCATAAAGCAAGTTCTATGCTATTAAGTATCCAATCTTTTTAATGTATTTGCATTGTAATAATTTGGTATGATGTTTTATTATAGATTGGCATTATAAGCAAAATGATGGAAAGTGTAACGATATTAAAGTGTGTCAAAACTATTTAAAGAATCTAGTTTATAATTTTAAAAATTATAGAGACGATAATGTTTTCGAGGAAAAACTTGCTCAAGCTGGAGAACTAGCAGCCGCTCTTGAGATAAAGCAAGGTTTTCCTCCATTAAATACTGTTAGACGAAAGTATAAACCAAAACAGTACGATTATGAACAGAGAGATGAGACACCTCAAAATCCAAAAACAGCGTTTAAAATAAATTTCTTTTTAAAAATAATTATTTAAAAACTAAGTTCTTTAAATAGTAGATTTGAAATGATATCTGATTACGACAATGTTTTGGTTTTTTTTTTAGTGATATTTTTAAATTAAATGACGAGGATCTTTTAAAATGCTGTCGTGCTCTACAACAAAAGCTAACTGATCAGAAAAAGGAGGAGGCTGACGTAGAAGAAAATGATTTATTTAATTAGATAAAAGCCCTAAGATTGTTTTCATTACCTGAAGCGTCAAATCTCCTCGACAGTTTACTGTATCTGTAGCTTCTGGTGAGATATCCTTCTCAAAATTAAAAATAATTAAAAATTATTTGAGGTCTACCATGTTACAAGAAAGATTATCGGGTTTGGCAATCTTAGCTATAGAGCAAGAGATCCTCGATAAAATTGATTTTGACAATATTATAAAAGAATTTGCAGCAGCCAAATCCAGAAAAAAAACTATTTAATTTTTGGATAATTGAATCTTTTATGTGTTTACTGTTTGGTTTGTTTTTTCATTTGTAAGAATAAAATATTGGATTTTAAAATATCTGTTGTTTCATTACAAAATTAAAATAAAATGTGGTTTCGCAATTCGCTCAAATGTTAAACGACTACAAGAATATTACAGCAAACCAGGAAATTTAAAAAACATATGTAACAGCTTAAAGTTGTTATTCTTCAAAATATTATTTATACAAGTACTACATATATTCAAAGGGCGCCAAAATATTTCCGACACGCGG